GTTATCCTTGTACGAGGGGGCTGAAGGGAGGCCAGACACATTCAGTAGCCTCAAGTTAATCACTTGGTAAATGAGGCTGCTTCTTCAGCTCTGCCTTGTGGGGTGAAATGAGCCTGGCTGTGTTGGAATCCCAGTGGATATTCCAGCCTCCCTTGCTGTGCTGGCTCTGGGCTGGAAGGGAAGCATGTGAAGCTGTGCAGACTCAAGAGGATGACACAAGCTTGTCATCTTTTTGTCAGACAAAGCATTCCTCCTGGGAATGAAAGGAATTGCTGTTCCCACAGGTCTGTTGGCTACCAGCCCCCTTCCAGCAAGCAGGACAAGGTCCTGGCACTTCTCAAGACCTGCTGTTACCTAAACCCTGTGAGGTGGTGACCTTATGGTCAGCAAGGTCTCTGGTCTCTGTGTGATGCCAGGGCAGAGACACCTGGCTGCCTTGCTGGCTCCACACGAGATCTGTGAGATGAGGAGAGGGATTAGATGCTTGCAGGCTGCTGAGCTGACAAACAGGGCTTCACGCTTCACAGGTTTGCTGTAAACTGGGACACAGCACAGAGCTGGGGATTGACCACTGCTCTGACTGCAGTGGCTTACAAGGCTTTCAACAAGTTGTAAAGCATGTCTGTGGGTACATGAGATGTGAGGCTGGTGTCCTAAAGCTAGCTTTTCTCAGGCTAAGCCTATGCCTTCCTTTGGAAAGGCAGCTAATTTCCTCAGCACAGAGATGACTTTGTGATGAGAGGTTAATGTGATGCTGCACTACATTACAAGTGGTTTGTTTTTCTGGAGAAGACACTGTCTGGCCCAGGTGTGCTAGGTGAAGTCATGGTGGGAGGTGTTGAAGGATGAGAACTGCTGAGGCTCCTTGGAGGTGATGCTGGCTCATGCTTCTATTGAGGATGCTTGCAAAAGAGGCAGGAGTGTCCTCATGCAGGAGTGTCCTCATGTGCTTTTCTGCTGGAGCTGTGGGGACACAAAGCCAGTTGAGGGTGGTCAGTGGGAAGAGCAGCAGTAACAAATCCAAGAGACACTGCAATACCAAGTGGAGTGAATATAAATGTGGGTGTAACAAGGCTTCTGCTACTGGCTAGAAAATCATGTCTGTTGGAAATGACCTGCTGGATAGAAATGCTTGGTGCAGTGTTTACTAAAGGGGAGAACACAAGCCTCCTGGCTGAAGGGGCTGTTATAAAGGCCAGTGTGATCTCACACTGCCACTCATGGTTTTTTCAGTGTAACCTGGGAGCTGCTCATGCTGTTACCCAAGTGAGATCTCCTGGAGACTGCTCGGAGTTTCTGGTCACTCTTACTCAAGGAAAAGGGACATAAAATAGGCTGATAAAGAAAATAGATAACCATTTCCCATGTGTCTGTCGCCGTGGTGGTTCTTGCACTGATCACCAAGTGTGAGCGTTAGTTGTGCCAGGTCTGAAATCAGAAGCAAAATAACCTCACTGCCAGGACTGTGCCTGAGCAATATATCTACATCACTTCTGGGACCTGAGTTAGTGTCTCTTCAGGGCACTTGAGACAATTTGCCTTGCACTTCACAGGTACAGATGTGCTGCCTTAAGAGACCTGGCATCAAGTAGCTTGTAAATGATAGCTGGGTGGGCCTGGCTCCCGCTTGCAAAGGAGGGAGGAAGAAGTGCCAGGAAAGAAAAAATGCTGCTTAAGCAAAACTAGTTTTGACACAAGAGAAAATGGATGTAAAATGCAAGTGAGTACATTTGGGTAAGGAATGAGAGGTACAGTGTTTCAGTCTGAGTTGGGAGGGCAAAGCCCTTGTATCTCCCAAGGTGGAATTCGCTTGGTCTGTAGAAAGTGTGGTGTAATTCAGTTCTGCAGTGCAAGCAAGGGGACTTGGACCAGCAGGACCCTTCTAATGTACAAGGAGTGTGGGAAGGAAGTGAGTATTTAAACAAACATGCCCTACCCTCCATTCTCCACCCAAAAAGTAAGTGAACAACATCATCTGTGTTAGTGATGCACCTCATATGGTCTCAATTAGAAGCTGGACATGAGTCTAGGTGGATCTGCATGTGGTGAGGATTTGTGAATGTTCTTGAAGCTATTGGGTCCTGCAGAAGAGCAGTTTACTTTAGTAATAACTGAGGAATGCCACAGGAACACGTACTTAGAGATGTGCAGGGAAGAATAAACTGTAGTCCACTGACTGTAATTCATAGCTCAACACCTGTCTGAGGAGACCAGGGCAGGGCTGGGGGCTGTCACAGCTGTATTTGGTGTGAACCAGGCACCCGTGTTCCTGCTGGGTTCATGAACCGAGGCAGAGGAGGAGGGAAGGTCTCAGTCTTTGGCAGCAAGTGGGAGGATATAAAATTTCTAGGGCAAGCAAAACCCTGGAAGGAAAAGAAGGGGAGCTAGTTGAGATACTGAAGGACATGAGAGGGACTTAAGTTTCAGGGGTGGAGTTTCTCCACTTGGTTGGTTTGCTTTCCTGTGCAACCACTGCCAATTTTGCAATCACAGCTTGACTCCTCGAGCTTTCAGAATAAGATGCATTTCTATTTTGTTTTTTGAAAGGGTTCAGGTAACCCAGCCAGTGCAAAGTTACACTATTCTTTCTAAAGCAATAGGGAAGCAAAGAAAATATTTTTCCTGGTGTATATTTGAGGTGCCTGTAAGCCAAGACTGATTTGTCACTTTTAGGAGCAAGGCTACAACTAATGCTAAGTTGAGAAATCAGACAGAAAAGGGGAAAAAACATTTCTGCAAATCTCTGAGAAGGGTGGTGTTTGTGTACTTTAAAGGACTTGAAGACCCTTGCTGACCTATGCACCTAATTGTTATTTCCCTGCATTGCACTCTACATAAAGCAGCTGCTGCTTTGGGGGATTATCCTATATATGTGTGTGTGCATGTGTTTTTCCACTGCTTTTTTTTCCTTGTCCCTCTGTGGGTGTGGTATGTCTTTGTTAAATAATGAACTAAAGTATATCTGGCTCAGGAAGCTCTTGGGCTTTGGTTGGGAGGCTGGAATACAGGTTGTGGAGCTGTATTTACAGTCTAGTGTTATCTCACTGGGAGGGTGGGGGGCTTGCCATGGGGACCCCTGTACACCTGTGCTGAGTCATAGGAGATTCACGCCTGGGCATGTCACTGGGAACAAGCTCAGGTCTTTTTCTGTCTCCTCTAGAATGCTGCCCACATGGCTTTGAGTGTCAGGTCAAAAATAACCTTGACTTTTTTTAGCAAACACAATCAATAAAACAAGAGCCAATCTGGCCGCCGCCTCCTTCCCAGCTGTGGTTGCTCCATAACTCCTGGCTCAGGGCTGTTCCATCCCCCCCTGAAGGTCATTGCTTGGATGCTGAAGCTTCAGCTTGACCTGGTGGTAAACCAACATCATCCTATTCCTCCTTCCCATGTTCTTCCTTCCTCTTGGAGAAGCCTCACTTTGCTTTGTGGGAGTTGCAGGTGGGAAATGTTTTCAGGCTGTGTTTCCAGCCTTGCTCAGTCTTGTGGCCCAGGGCCTGAGCTGGCAGCCCTGCCTTGACTTCAAAGGGTTTCACTGAGCTCTTGGATCTCCTGACTGACTCCTCCCAGTCTGTGTTTTGTTCTGGAATTGTTCAAAGGGGCCATAGACATTGGCAGGGAACACGAAGTGGCTGTAATAATGTCCTGTTTCTGATTCTGTCTGGGACACAGGCGATCCAAGAAATATAAGGAAATTTAGTCCAGGCTTTGTATTTGACTTTTTTTTGAGCTGAATGTTATTTGGGGTGTGGCTCAAGTAGGTCCATGTACTTCTCTCATGCCAATTCATCAGTTCTTGTGCAAGCACAAGGCGTAGCAAATGCTGGAGGAGGAGCTCGTGGCGCCTGTGACTGCTCTATCAGTGGTCTAAGATCGCTCTCCTGCTCACCCTATCACCATGTGGGGTCCTGAAACCTTCTTGCCTAGAAGCACAGGATAGTTCTCAGTGTTTTCTCATCACTCCAGCCCTTTATCACTTGGAGGTGTTTCCCCTCTCCAGGGAACTGGAGAAAATACAACGCCAAAAGAAAGTTGGTGTTGGAAAGTCCAACGCCAACTGTTGCATCAAGGCAGATGTGAGCTTGGGTGCACGTGTTCAGAGACTTCAAAGTTGGGCTTCTTTCACATATTGTCCAAGGACCTGCCAGATGGTTTCTCCCATCTCAGTTGACTTTCAGAGAGGACTACCTCCACCTGCTTCTCAGAAAAGACCCTCCTGAAAATGTTTGTGTTTCTGGTGGGACGGTGTCTGAGTTTAATCTGGGAGAAAGCCATAACTGTCCAAAGACTGCCTGGGAGGTGAGGACTGAACTCCTTTCACACCACACAGCATTGCAGCCTCTCAGCAGAGGCCTGTGGCCACAGCCAGGCAGCCACTCTGCTGCCAGCATCACTCCTGTGCCACTGGTAACAGGGGACCCTGTTCTCTGGGGCTGCTGATCTGTCACCTTCCCCCGCCTCTAATATTTACTGAAAACGATCCTGCGGTGACAGATCTATTTCTGTTTTTGTTCTCTATAACATACCTGCCAGACTGCCCCAGGCGACTGAGGAATTTGTAATAAAGGCAATGTTTCCAAACTAAGCTTGGTGCTCTCCTGCCAGCAGCGCTTCCAGCCAGCAAAGACCAGGACCCTGTTTATCCAACCCAGTTAGAGACTGGATAAATATATGACTTTTTTTCATTTAGGCTCTAAGTTTTTGTAGAGAGGTTTTATTTGCTTTCACTCTTTTTGCATGACCAATTTCAATTGTGTCTTTGTTCACTGATGTATGCAGTGAGGGGCAATGACTTGGGCAAGGATATTCGGTGGCTTGGTTGCACATTCCGTGCTTGAAACTGCGGGTAAACCTATGTAATTCGACTTTTCCAAAATGCTGGGAAAACAGAATGGGGCTGGGTGGTAGGGTATGGCATCCTCCCTCTGTGTGCTGTCCCTGGCATGGGCTCAGCAACCATCTGGTTGTGCCACAGCTGAGCCTTTCCTTCTTCTCCACAGACACATAGAGAACTGGAAGAACTTGCAGACACTGAACGCCGTTGACATGGAGCTGTACACGGGACTCCAGAGGCTGTGAGTATGTCCTGTGCATCAGGGAGGGGAATGAGCCTGGGCAGCCCCTTCCTTCCAGCAGAGCCACGGCTTCCTTCCCTCTGCAGCCTCCATGCTGCCAGTTTAAGCTGCTGGATCTACTGTGTTTTGCTATGGGAGTCCACAAAATGGAGATGAAACGCTTTTTGGTCTTGGCTGGGTCTGAGAGAAGGAGGATTGCTAGCTCTTGACAGCTCTGTCAACACACATCAGCCCTGACCTCTCCTCTCCTCTGCTGTTCTGGTTCTGGGCTTATGTGTTGCTCTGACTCATTCCAGCCCCACAATGTAAAATTCCAGCTGTCTCCACCAATCCTTCATTTCTGGGCTCTTGGTCCTCGTTTAGTGCAGTTACCATCATGGTGGTGCTGTGCAATAAGGGAATTGCATCTCCCTGCACAGCTCTCTGAGCATGGAGAGAGGTCAGTTTTGTGTGTCATGGAAGGGAAACCGAGGGATTGAAGGGACTTTGCATTTACTTAGGAAGCCTGGCCAAGCAAGGATGCCACCCAATCTCTTAATTCCCCCTCCTACATCCTCTGGATCTGTGAACACCCTGGATGCTGTGTATGTGAGATGCAGTGTTGCTCAGGGCTAATCAGAGACTAATAATGTGTTTCACTGGGAGCTTTACAGTAAGTGCAGCTCCCATGTGGGCTGGAGGAGCTGTGTGGGGCTGAGCACTCAGTAACCAAATTCCAGCAACCTGCACTTTTAACACACAAAACCCTTGTAAGCTGGCTGTTGTTCTCTCCTCACCTAACAAAGCAGCAGAGACAGCAGATATTTACAGAACCACAGAACACGCTGAGCTGGAAGGGACCTACAGAAACCATCAAGTTTAACTCCTGGCCCTGCAAAGCACCATCCCCAATAGTCACACCATGTGTTTGAGAGTACTGACAAATCCTATCAATATCCTTGTATCACAGTACTGATAGAGCTTTTCCAAAGCAGGCTGTGGAAAGGATTCTTCTCCCTTCAAGATCTAGAATTTCCTATGGGAAATACCCTTCCTTATCAGAGCTGCAAGCAGCAGGGTTTCCTCTTGGGTATGAAGATGGGAGAGGACTTTGCTGTGGTTAGGTCTGCTGCACAGTCCTGCTTGTGGAGGTGCAGGGAGAGCAGAGGAGAGGAGATGGCCTGTGCCCCCCCAGCAAGCCTTGGTGGATGTGGGAGCAGAGCCTCTCCCAGAAGCTGCTCCACACTGAACCTGGGCCATGTTACCACGTCAGATGGAGATGAAAAGCCCAAATTCCTCTTTGCTCCTAGCTCTGTGGCTGCTCGAGGCTGCCCTGGGAGCGATGTTCTTCCTGGGAATGGTGGGGCTGGAGTCACAGCACACCTGGTGCACTGAGCAGGGCTTTAGAGCAATTGTCTGCCTGGACTCCATTGCCACCTTCTGCATCTCTCCACAGGACAATCAGGAACTCAGGACTACGAAACATCCAGCCGCGAGCCTTTGCCAAGAACCCCCACCTGCACTACATGTAAGTGCCAGCTGCTCCTGTCCCCTTTTGCCTCTTCTCCCTATGGAAACGTGGTTCCCAAGGCAGATTCCCAAAGTGCCTGTGGGGGACAGAAAGGAGAGGGAAGGGGAATGCCAATGGGGGAAAAGAGAGGCAGAGGTGGGAAAGGGCAGGAGATGGAAAAGCAAAATGCACAGGGAAGTGGAATGGGCTGCAGTGCAGGGTGGGGAGAGCTTCTGCTGGGAATCGGGGGGTTTGGGTTCCTAAAAACTGGCCTGCCTTAGATGGCCACTCTAACGAGCTCTGGCTGCATCATCACCAGCCTGGGGGCTTCTGCACGTTTCCCTTTCTGTAGAATTTGGGGACAGCCCCCCACCTGCCCCAGCACACAGCCAGAGCCTGCCCCGCTCATTAGTTTTTAACCAAAGGCCGCTTTTCTGACACAGATCCTGGGTATGGGGCTGCCAGCTCTGCTGCTAATTACTGACTTCTTAAACTGGTGTCTGCAGTGGGCACGGGGTAGGGATGTTTTGTGCCGGAGGGGCTGGAGCCCTGTTACCCTGGGACATGGCACAAGTGTCCATGGCATTGTCAGCTGGAGAGTGGTGTCACGGGGAATTTCCACATCCCTGAGGCCAAGGGCACCGGTTTCTTTTCTGGATGTGTATTTACTTTTCCCAAGGTGATAAAGCAAAACCTGAATTTCAGGCCACTGTGCAAGGTGCTCCGTGGGCTTGAAATATTCTGTCCAAGTGACTGTGTCTAGGATTAAAGCCCTCTCTGCTCCACTGTAGATATGAAAGGTGGAAAGGGTTTGGTGAGAGGCCCTGGCCTCGGGCACGAGCTGATGGGCTGAATGGGAGGCTGTGTTTATCCCTGCTTTCTGGAAAGCAGTGCTAGTGGCTTCTTCAGTGAAAAAGTGCATCCATTTGAGTGTGTGGGTGCACTGGGCCATCGATACAGACTTGTTCCTGGGGCAAGGAGATGGATTCGACCTGCAGAGAGGGATAGATTTGTCTTTTGATGTCTGCTCAGAGATGATGTGAACTGAAAAACCCCAAAAGCTTCCTTTTTGGAAAACCATTTACAGTTGCTAAGTGACAGTAAAGTACTTGCTAAATAGAAGATCTGCAGTAGAAAAGGGCATGAATAGTTGAGGGCATTGTGAGCATGAACTGAGCCTTTTTGAGCTTAAAGAATTGCATATCTTCATAATAAACCCTCGTTAATACTGACCACTGGGATATTCCTGATTTCTGCTCTTTGTTATTTTGATTTGCAGCATTTGTTTTGTATTTTCTATAGTTGTTTGTTCTTGGGAAGCTTTCTCTCTGAACCACTCTCAATTGATTTTTATTTTTTTTTTGAGGGTTGTTTGTCAATTGTGCAGTTGCTGTTTATGTATCTAGCAGATAAAATGAATAACATTTGATTCCTGATGAAATTAGTTTGGATGTCGTAGGAGTTTAGAAGGCCACGTATGCTTGCTTTGAGGCTGAATGTGCCATTAATGTGTACACAGGCAATTGTTGCTGCTTTTCCCCAAAGTGTTTGTTTTTGTCTTTTGGAATTACTTTTGTGAGCAGAAAAAAACCCCACATCCATCTTCTGTCAAGAGTTAGGATTGGTACGTGGTGATGAAATATGTGTTTGTTTACTGCTTGGGCCCTGTAAGATTGATCATGTTCTTAACATCTTTCTTTCCTTGCTTTTTGGAGCTCGAGGCGAGTAAGTATATTATTTGCTTGGTGTTTGCTAGTGGGTTTTGATGCTGTTCCTGTGACTTGGCAGTGTGGATGTTCCCCGTGGGGGATGCCGGACAGTCGAGGATGGAGACCCGGTGCTTGCAGAGCTGGTGACTCCCTGCTGCTTCCCAAAGGCTCTCAGACCATGATGCCACTGCTCCCTTGCAGCCAGGGTGGCTCCCGAGGCTCTGCACAGCCTGGCAGGTGCCTGGTGCCACCTGGCATCCCCTCCATGGCCTCAGCACTCTGCCAGCACATCAAGGTGCCTCCTTGGCTGCTCTGCCTCCCTGGGAGCTCAGCTCGAAGGCCTGACATTTTCTGCAGCCTCTGCACGTAGGAGCCAGGGATAAAAGGATTAATGGAAATGTCACTCTGCTGTAAGTCTTGGGCTGCTGTAGCCAGGTACTGTAGCGGATGGGAGTGAAGGATACTGTCCCAATCCTCTCCTGATGGGTGGTGTGCAGGGCTGGGACCGTGGGATGGTGCTTAAGGCTTGTTGGGTTACTGTTACCCATTTTCACTGCCACTCTGGTTTTCTTTCTCCTTTGGTGGCTGTTTGGATGGTTGCTGGTGGAGCTGAGTCAATAAGATGACAAATGTGTCTTAGAAATGACAGACTGTCTTCACTGCCAGGGAGGGTTGGCACAGGGTGGTGGGGGCCCCAGGCTGGACCTCTGCAGGGTGTTACAAGCTGGGTCTGAGCAGCTTTTCACTTGAAGCTTGTGTACAAATTCTGAGGTCTCCAAAGCTTATTTCCACCCCACACACGCCTCCCTTCCCATCCTGGGTTAAACTGAAACTTCCTGCTGAACTGAGTTTTTTCCCAGTGCCTTTCAGCAAGGTTTCCTCCTCTCAGATGGGCCAGATAGCTCTGCCTTCTCCCAGTAACATCTATTTCTGGCCCTTCCTCTGTGCACGCGCTTGTCTTCAGCCCCCAGCTGTGCAATCACAAGCAGATCACTTATCCCAGCTCTAATTGCAGGAGCTCAGGTTTGTGAGGGTTTGGGTGAAGCTTGGCTTGGTTTTTCCCCCCCTTCCCCATCACAGAGTCAGGAAGGAAAGGCAGGAAACCCATGAAGGGAATTTTCAGCATTCAGCTGCTCAAGTGATAGACCTCAGGGTGCTCCGAAGTGCAGCCTGGCAGGGTCATGCCTGTCCTTTTAGGGTTTGAAATTAGATGTAGTAAGTGCAAGGGACTTGAGGCCGGCAAAATCAGTGGAGGAGCAGTGGGTGACTGTGGGCCAGAGGTGTGAATTGAGAAATAGTTTTGGTTTCCTCTTCCTTCTCCTTGAATGAGGACAATTAGGATTCCACGGCCTGTCTGATCATTGGTGATGTGAAGCCTATCACTGCTACAGAGACAATCCAAAATATAACGGTGCGTTTTGCAGAATGGATCTACCTCTTCTGCTAGTGGTTGGGCTGAGACAGTTCAGTCCTTCTAAAACAAATACTGGCTGGGTGCTGGCTGTGTCTGATCTGGATATCTTCCAGTGTTCCTTACCTGAGATCCTCTCTACTGTGCACTGGTAGGTTCCTGGTCCAATCTCTGTGCTTGTTTGACATCCCTTTGGCTATTACAGGGATGGTCCTGGGCAATCTCATGCACTGGATGTGGGGACCAACAGCTCTAGGCTGTGGAAGGCTGAGCCTTTGTAGCCAAGGTTTATAGATGTTAGTATTAGAAGGTGATGCAGCTGAACAGAGGAAATGTTTGTGTTGACAGAAAACCCCAGTTTTTAGCTTGAGGCTGTGCAAGAAAACTCTGGGATGGTATGGTTCCTAAATTTGAGGTATATAAACCATCTGAGTACATATATACTGTGTTGCTGTGTCTAGCACAGCTTAGTGAGGAAAGAAACTCGAAAGCTCTCACTCTCTCTGTCCTCCTAATGACACTGGAGACCTTTGGCCAATTTATTTGAACTTGATAGAGGGTTACAAGTTGTGAGGTTATTGACTTCCTACGCCTATCATGAAACTAGGCAGAGGCAGAGTAAATAGAAGTTGTTGTAGTGCCTTGTAAGGAAGAATCCAGCATTAACATGCTCCTCATAAGGCACTGGGAAATCCACAGGAGAATTCAGCTTCACAGTGCACCAGGAATTGGTGCATGGGGGGAGGACAGGCCCTTCCCTGGCTGTGGGACAGGAGAGCTGTGCATGCAGGGGTGCAGGGTCCCAGCAGGCTGTGCCTGCAGCCAGACCAGTCGATATTTGCAGTGCCTGAGTCACCCTTTCCTGGGAGCAGGTACTTAAGAGGCTGTGATTCCCTCTGAATGTTTTCCTGGGTGGCTGTGCACTCAACCAGCCAGTCAGGAGGCACTGCCTTGTATTTGCAGAGGGTAATTGTGCACACCTTATTTATTGTGTAGTAAAGAAAACAAATTAAGGCTGTGTAATTACAGAGACAGGCATGCTTTTAAATAAGGCTTAAGCAGTCAGATTTCTATTTAGAAAATTAATAATTGCCATTTCTGTCTGCATCAGAGGCTCTTCTTAAACTGTCTTCTGGAGGTTTATACATGCAAAATTAGTTTGTGGGCCAGCCCAAACACAGCTTCTATCAGAGCACTCTCAGTGCTGTCTGCCAGAGTGAGGACAGGGTTAAAGATCGAGCTTTCCCACCCAGTCTTCACCCAGAGGTCTTAAAGATGCTGTTTGTAATTGTTTTTTGAGTATGGTGTGGTCAGATGACCAGCTTCACAGGGGTTTTCATCTGTGTGATCATGCTGGTCTCTTTCTCCCCAAAATGAGGACAGGGGAGTAACTGGAAGGTGCTGGCAGGAATGCTGCAGGGATCTTCAATGCTTTGGCTGTTGAAAGACTGAGCTGGATGATCCATGGGCTTCTTTTCATGGGAAAATTTGAACTGTGATTAATCTGGAGCTTCCCAGAATGTCCTTTGTAGATTGTGGTGTTTTCTGAGGATGGGGTTGGCTTCAGTGTTCTGGTTTGGTTCAAGGCAGTTGTGTCGTGTCAGATGAACTGGTACCTTGGTGCCGAATGTAGTTTGTAGCTCTGGCATGGGGATTCCCAGAGTCATGTTACAGGTCTAGGTTTAGATAGGAAAAACAAAAGGCTGCATCCCCTGAAATTTAAGGGGGCTGAGGTAGAATGAAGTTGGTGAGGTCAGTGCTGTGTCAGGACAGGACTAGTAACACTCCAGAAACTGAGGCCTGTGTGCAGGCAGCCCTCTGCAAGGCTGGCAAGCTTCACTTTCTTTGCTCTGTGTGTCTGGGAGTTTGATTGAGATATTAGACTAAATACAGAAATA